AAGGAAAGGGAGGGGGGAAACAGTCACATCACAGCACTCGATATGGCACAAGGAAAAAAAAACAGAATTTCACACAGTACAGTGGGAAATACAGACTGGGTACAGTACAGAGACAGGCTTTGAGCATCTAGGCCCTTTAACTGGAGCACTACAGGAATTATACCTCTATACTCGCTTCGATAACACTTTATTCCATGCAGTGTACCTTTTTTCATTATGGCCAATTACTTCTGACACACTGTCAATCATGTACTATTGCAGTAGTAGAGATGTATTCAGTCTATAGTACGTTAGCTCTGTATCACCACTTTGTGAACATATACATACACATATACATAAATACACATATACACATGTACATATAGATACCTACACATACCTATACATATGCATGGGACCTTATTACTCTTGGACAATTTGATCTGATTCATGTTTGATGAAAGAGAATTATAAATTAATCACAGTGTAATACATGCTCAGTACCCCTGTACAGTCCACACAGTATCTGCACAGACACTGAGAGAGGACTAACACAATTTAACTTTTGTCAACACTTAAAGGATCCCTCCACAACAAGCTCTTCACAATAGAATAAGTGTCCTTGGTAGAGAGGGAGCCACGCTTATGATGAACGCACAACATGTTCAGCAGAGGGGAAGGACAAGTTTCTTAATTTGTCAGACGTTGCAGGTGATTTTTTTTAATCTCCATTTCTTGTGAGAGATTAAAGGTTAGCAGATCTAAGGGGAGGCTCTGGGCCATTATTAGACCCCTCTCATCTCTCTTTGTGGGCGCTGGTCATTCTGAATTTTTCTATTTTTAAATCATTTGCTATCGTATCAGAAAAGAGGCAGGAGGACTTGGATCATAAATTATAAACTTGATTCCAGACTAAAAAGGCGAGGTCTATGGGATTGATGTTAAACTGCGCTGGTGTGGCCGCAGTCGGCAAGGACGGCAGTCTCCGCTGCGCTGAAGCGCTTCCTCATGCATGCTGTCGACTGACAACAAAGCCAAGACTGCAGCTCAGAAACATTAAGGAGCTATTATGAAGCATGTCAGTAAAACTGGGATTCTATGTTTTGATCTCCCAAATTACCTTTAGCACATAAAGAAGGAGGAGAAAGCTAATGGATAAAACAGCTTAAAATAGAATAATCACAGTAGAGGAGAAAAGGCTGGATGTGAATAATGCATTACATTATAAAAAAAAAGTAATATCTGAATTTTAGAATTTTATTTACATTTTATTAAACATAATATTTTAATATCTATTTATTATATATATGTATTTACATACTTTTAACTATAGGTATGTATAAAATGAAAATATATTAGAGGCTATATTCATTTTACTTATTTGCCATTTTAAAAAATGGTTTCTTACAATAAAATGGTAATGTTATTTGATTTTATGTACAAATGGGCACTAAAAGAAATATGTTCTTTTTGGAATATTTTAATCTACCAGGGAGGGCAACAACGTAGATGCACACACATACAAAAAAAATCTCTTGCCCTCTTTTTCTCATGGTAAGGAAAAGCCATATTACAGAGCCTGACTGTGTTTTATTTTTAAGGTCATGATCCCAAGTTGCCACATTGTTCAGTGGGCGAAAGTTTAAAATCACACTACAGATGCGTCTATTTAAGTTTACGCGAGCCAGCCCTTAGCCGTTGCTAACTCAACGCGCTCTCGCTGATCTCAATGATGAGCAAACAAAACTTGTTCAATCTTATTTGTGCTGCTTGGGCGATTGTGAGCCTTCATTGAGGATTTGCAGCCGCTACATGGGAGATTTTTAAGCTTGGTGCTGTTCTATTCGTGTTTTGTTTCTTTAACATTCCTTTTTTTTAAGCATTACCTGAATTTTTTTATTCACTACCTTTAGCTCGCCAGGAAAAAAAAGGCGTAAACAAACACAGAGTAATACAAAATGGTATAATTACACTTCGAATCTCCATCTCGGTGTTTTGCGAGCCAGTTATTTAAAATTGCACTGCTGCAATTTTTCTGTTATGATAATCAGCAGATTTTCAAACAAAGATTTTTTTTTGTTCAATACACAATTCGATACAAGTGGTAATCTGCTTCCTTTGTAGCCTGGAAAATCTGGTCCATGCCGGCTCAAACCAGCACAATCTCTTGTGGCCAAGCTGCTGTGACTGAAATCGAAACTATTCCACAGAGTGTTCATGAGCGAAAAAATGTGTGTGCGCTCGCACAAGTACGTGTGTGTGGTAAAGTGTGTTTTGGGTGGTAAGGGCGGGAGGGGGGAGGAACACGAAAAAAAAGTGCAATGGTAGACCACCACATTATTTAAAGAAAGAAAGAAAAAAAAGTGATAGCGCCAATTCTGTCTCTGTCCGCATACAGATAACGAATAAATGCCGAACTCTATTAAACCGTTCTTTAGCCATTATCGCAGGGCCAACACGCCATTTTCAGAACTTATAACGACTCCCTATTTACTTAGCTATAAATCCTTGCCATGTAACGAACAGATTTGTGACTGGTAATGATCTGCTCAGCCAGGGCTATATGAAATGATCCTGACCTCTTTCAGATCGTCAGGAATTAAATTGACCGACTTGCCCCTGCACCCCCACCAACTCATCTCTTCCCCTGCGCTCTATCTCTCCCGTCTTGCTCGATTAAAACCCTGAAGTTCCGAGCACTCCACTCACAGCACGACCAAGTCTTGTGTTATCTCCCCAAGTTTTTAAAATGGAAATTAAGTAAATACGGCACCTGGGAAAGGATGGGGGAGGAGGCTTCATCCCCTACTTCCTATTTATTTTGCCTTTGTTAATGGCCAGAATATGTAAATGGAAGTGCTTAGCTATCACTCTATATGTCAGCAATTAAAATGTATATCCTTGATTAGTAAATATGGAATCAAATAACAGTTCTTTGTTTAGCAAACAGACAAATGTGTGCTCCTCATTACCACGGCTCTCTCAGATTCTGATTTTTTTTTATTAAAGAGGACAGGGAAAATGCCCCAGCAGAAACAAACAACAGAAACAAAGGGGTTTAACACAGAGCTGTCAAATGCAACAGTTTTCTGACACTTTGGATGTACTTCATTTTATTAGCAGTGTCTAGATTTTCATTTCTTATAGTTCTGGCACTCTTCGCTTGGCCACTCTTGTGTTTTTGTGTTCTTTGGCTGGAGGTTCACTTGTTAAATGAGTCAAACTGAGGGTTTGTTGTATGTATTGCTAGTACAGGTGCCAGGATCCAAAAATTTGAACATATAAAAAAATGCAAAATATAACAAACAATATGCCAAATGGTTTGTTTTTTAACTTGAAAAGCCTAGCAACCTGACTGCATTTGTGATTTTAATGAAGCCACTTTACTTTTCTAAGTTAAAACAACAAATCTTCTCTAAACTTTATTTCAGGATCTGTGAACTTTTTAAGTGTATATTAATTTTTTAAACATTGTCTGGAGAGTAGTTCTCATTAAACAAAACAGAGTGAGTAATTAATGAGCTGAAATATAATCCTTTCAAATAACTATCTAGTCTTTGCCAACTAAAACGAACAAAGTATAAATCTTGAAAATGGATATTAAATGAGCCATTGTGTTCTCCACTCTGTAACATAATCACAATTGATAAAAGAAAGCAACACTGACTAAATTCTTGAATAATAATTCAAATAACCAAGCTCATCATGAGCTGGATTTTAAATGAGGATGAGAAAATATGGCAGAAAGGGGAAGTGAGTTCTAATATTGTGTTCCTTTGACAGTAATTTGATAAGAACCATCACTGTCTACAATATGACAGCTTTGGCAGCACATCTACCCTCAACTTCCATATAAAATGTCACACTCACTGTTTTTGTGGCACTAATTTGGAGGTAATATGCATATCAATTATGCATCTAGGCTAACCATACATATGTTTGTAAGATGTGCGGTGCAAGGGTCATAATTGAAATGGTAATAAGGAGGAAATCAAAAACAAAAGAGAAAACTTTATTTAGCTCAGCTCAGCTGCCTACGATCTCACTGTACTTTCACAACATACCCACAGAAACACAGTGAGAAGGTGCGTGCAAGAGTGTGTGTGTGCGCGCGCGACATGTGGCTTCTTCACCAAAGTTAGCAGGATAATTAAAATGCAATATAATTATTCAAAGGACATTGTTGTTGGCAGTCTAAAAGCAGCTGTGTAGGTGAGACAGAGTGTCTCTCAAGTCTTAAAATGCCCATTTTTACAGTTGTTATTATTTTTATTTTGATGCAGTACTTCAGAGATAATTCAGAACAATCATGTTTTTAAGAGCGCGTGACACATTTTTAGCAATTAAGATGGGTTTAAGATGTGCTTCTTTTTTTCTTTTAGATATGAATGAATCAATCCTATTTTTGATCTTTTTATCTTTTTTTTTATTACTGCTCTGATGTCATTTTGGTTCTGACTAAGTTGTACACATCATCCAGTTTAAGAAGAAATTGTTTATCAATATCAACTAACATTTTAATTTATATACATGTGAGACAGTGTTTAAAACTGTCTGAAAGGTCCTCAGATGGTAAAACAGGCATTTTTATAGTTAAAAAATGGTAGAAATGCTTGTTTTCCCATAACATCTAAAATGCATTGTATTCTTGAGTCCCTGAGTCTGTGTGGTTCCACCACCTCGTGTGTTTAAAAGACTGTGAAAGCAGCTGAAGATTTTCTCCTTTTTTTTTGGGAGGGGGGGTCATCTTTAGAAAGATAAGCACTTGGACGGATGGGGAACAGCTGGGAGAAAGGGGGAATTTGCCCCAATCTGGTGCTGGCCAGACGATGGCCAGAGCCTGGAGCCCATTCAGGACCGGCCAGCTTTGCATTAAACAGTGTTGCTTCCGCATGACTTGGTGCCAATAGCATAGAGGGTTCTGGGAGAGGGCCCCCTCACGGCCCCTTGCGGCCCTGACCCGCCTTCACCCCGAGCAGCCACCCACACTGGGAGCCCAAAGCTCCTGATTAGCGCCCTACCTGACTCTCAGAGGAACTGCCATCATCCCCGAGGAGCTCGTTCCGCACCTCATCACTGTAGGCAATACGTGACCTTTTCTGCAATGGGGGGGAGAGAAAGAGATAGAGAGAAAGAGAAAGGAGGAAGACCAAGGGGAGGAAAAGAGGAAGAAGAAGCGGGGAAGGAGGGAAAAAAAGAAAGAAAAACAAGCTTTAGTTCAGTTGCCTTGAAAAATAACATACATTTCTGAAGCACGAGGGCCCCCTAATGGATCGACAGATGAAACAAATGCTTATACCTGCCGAGTGCTAGAGCTATGCTTATGATGCACTGAGTGCGCTAGAGCGCGTGTGCGCTTATGGGTCCGTGTAGCCATTCCGGTTCGAGTGAATCCGAACCACGGAAATAATGGAAAAAGCCCCCCTTCCACTTAAATAAATAAAAAGTGAAGAATGGTGAAGCGTCGGAGGAGGCGAAGGCAGGGAGTGTATTAGAAAAGTATCAGTTGTCAGAAGGAAATCTGTTCTGGGGGCTGTCACTGCTGTCAGCCCTGTACTCTGGCAGGCCCTGTGATAATGCACAGCCGAGGAGCTAGACAGAGAATAATTCATCAACCAGGTTGACGCGATTGGCGTGCCATCAGATTTTGGGCGCTCTCTGCTGGTCTCGTCCGCTACACCGGTGGAGAAAGGAGAACGCCATGTCCAAAAAACCAACCAAACAAGAAAAGAAACCAGGCACACCCATACACACACACACACACACACACACACACTCACACACACTCACACACACACACACACACACACACTTCAGAGTGTGCCACCTTCAATTCTGAAAGAGCACAAGCTGTGTATGGTGTGTTTACAAACACAGCCAACCTCTTCAAATACCCTCCAAACTAAACACACAGTGGCGGTAAGAAATAAATAGTGTTTACTAAGCCCTCTTTCCCTTGCTCTGTTCACCACTCCGGCGTGCTGCCACTCTCCAGGTGGACAAACTGAAGAAAGGTGCACACTGAGGCACCCGTTTACAGAGAAAAGAGAAAAGATACAGCCAAAAAATAATAAAAAAAACAGCCAGAATGATTATTTTACGACACAAAACTACAACATTTCTTTCTATATTCCTTATTGTACATAATATACACACAGGGCACCTGAGCATATAGTTTAAAACCATTTATCACAGCAGTAATATGTTCATGCATGTACAACATTAAATAACATTAGAATAAAAACAAAAAATTATATTGTAAAAAGCAACAATAATCTTTTGCTGAGATGTTGTGAGCTGGTTTAAAGAATGCAGATTCGGTTGAAGACTTTACCTAGGACCCCCAGTCATCGCACAGATCTGCTCAAATCCAACACCAGCACACCTGATTTAATTTAATGAAGCACTGATTAGCAAGATATTGGGTGATATATACAAATAATACTGGGGTGTCACAAGGAGTGGTTTGCAAATAGTAAAGTGAACACTGACATACATAAAATCACCATAATTGTATTAATATTATTTGTACTTATTGTAATATTTGTGTTTTTTTTAGTGCATGAATGTTTACTACCCAATTGAATAATATTCTCCTATGATTTTCTCAATATGCACATATTCGTTATTCACTTTTCAATGTTTAAATAACTGCTAACATATTTTAAAATCCTAATCAATAAAAACAAACATAGAAAACAATTTTAGAGGCAAACTCAAATCATATCTACATTTGTGTGGCTATATCTATTAATTTCACCCCAAGCCTTTTACTTTACTGAAGAAAAATATTGCCTTAAGGCCAACAATAAAGGCATAAGCAGTGTCTATATAGTGGGAGACATTAGAAAAATGACGCTGAAAAAAAGATGAGATTCAGCTGAGACTTTACTGTTAACCAGATGAAATGAATAAGAAATATATGTATTTGTCACATCATTATGAAGCAATAGAGGTGTGTTCTTTTTCTTGATCAGTAATTGTTAATCATCTATCCTAAGGAGAGACACACACCAAAGCCACACTGACACACCAGGAAAAAAAAAAAAACAAAGTGTGTCTTCCGCTAGAGGAAAAGAAAAACACCCACATGTTCCATTTTAGCTGAGTTTCATCTTAAAGAACGGCGGAGTAACTTTGGGGAATGCAGGCTCGCTGGTAATTGAAACTTGAAGCCTTGGAGAGGACTTCATTTGAATACATACACTGACATCTTCTTCAAACCCGCCGTGCTATTTTGTTTCATTCTGCTTTTTCTAAATAGCTGTTTGTTGTAGCTGAGAGCATCAACCACTTTGGCAATGTAACCTTTGAGTGGTGCGCTCACAAAAAGAATGGCAAATGCAGCTTTAAGTCATGGAGGGGGAAAGCCAGTGACTGAAACAAAGAGCGATGTCTCTCCCAACCCGTTTACACCATTTCAAAACTCCCCCTGCAGTAAAACAAGCCTTGTGCTGATTACTCCCCCTCTTCATCTAACACTACAGCAAGGCAGCTAGGCAATATTGACTGCTTAACCCTTGGAAATACTTTGATTAGTGCTCTACACTAGACCAACTTAAACAGCATTAGAATATTTTTTTTCCTGACTTGCACATCTTTTAGTTCAGACGGAGCACCATTATTAGGTGCTTTAGTGTCTGTGGATGATGGGACATTTTATATTTAATAATGGGCAGGAATGACCTAAAATCACTGCAGGTTCAGATTTTGTGAAAGACATTACTAAAAAAAGACCAATAATAAGCGAAGCTCTTAGTAAAAATCAATTGATTTAAACTTCCTTATGTTACTTATAGCATGGTAAAGCTGGGACCACTCAAATTAAAAAAACTGTACAAAAACAACATGAAACCAAGTGAAGAGGCTTTGTAATCTAAAAAGAATGAGCACTTTCACAGATACCTTATTGCTAGAGAAAAGAAAGGATTTTTCTTTTTTTTAATCTGTTTGAAAGGTCTTTCTTTTGTCATTTTTTTTAATCTTGGGTGAGAATTTGCTTCTATTCCCGGAAGCACAAGAAGAAGTACAAAGATCCATCTTAAGTTTATGCAAAGTGGTCTGTCTGCCTTTTATAACAGACACATCTCGTCAAACCAGAGACGAAGGTTCTTGTGTCCTGTCAAAAAAACACACGTTACTCTCTGTTGACATGAAATTCAAGGCACAAGAACCTGCTCAAGCCATCAAACTGATTATGCATGCAAACATTTTTTATTGGATATGCAAATGATTCCATATTGTCTGCACATCTAAAAGATGAAAAAATATATAAATAAAAAAAATGTCTATGATGAATAAATTATATGTGAGTATAAATATGGGACTAATTTTTAAAATAAATGAAATTATACTAATAAAATCTTTTTTTTTTTATTTTACCCCAAATTTAAAACAATAAACATATATACAATTATTTATACATATTAAACACACTATATATATATATATATATATATATATATATATATATATATATATATATATATATATACATACATACACATACACACACTCACTCTCAGATGAAAAAAAAATTAACATAAGATTCACTTAAGGATTGAGAGTGAAATTTATAGCACCTCACCTTTCAGGATAAAGTATGAACATTTCTAAGCAAAAAACAAATAAACTTAAAATAAAAACAAAAAAATACTCAAAGTTAGTTTCCTCCAATGGTATGAATAATTAAAAATCATATTCACTGCAAATCAACCCAATTTTCTTCTTTTCTCACCCTCTCTTTACACTGACAGCAAAAAGCCACACAAGGACGCGCAAATAATAATGGCACCTCGTCGTCTGCAAAAGTAAACAGTTCATTAGACTGGCTGTTAAAGGCGTAAAAATACCCACGGGCAGAGTTTAATGAGAGGCCCTGAAGTGACTCTGCGAACGCTTTCCCTCCACTTCTCTGCTCTTTATTTTTTTACCCCGCGCACACGGCTGGTGGCAAACCGTGAAGAGTAATTAATGATATTTAATTTACAAAGTGTGTTTCATTAAGTATTTCTCACCAGTGGGAAATGTCTGGCCAGTTCTGATTTTGACTTAATGGACTTTTGTCAAACGCAATGTGTCTGCCTCAAATTGCCATTTAACCTATTCCTTCTCCCACTAATAATCTCCTGAAAATGTTTAAGAGGAATTAGCACTTCAAGTGTGGAAAAAAAAGAAAATAAACACTCTCCATGCACCTATGACTGGTATCAAAAATAATCACTGTGAACGACACTCATTTCCACTCCTCGCTTCTCTCAGAATTAAATGAGAGTTGATATGATAAGGTTTTAAAACTCAAAATGAACTTTGTTTTGGGTAGTATTCTCTATAATGTGTAACATCTGGTGCATGGTTGCTTCAGAGTCAGTGCTAGTGGCATAAGAAGGGATGAGCTGGGGCAAAGTGCTGTGGTGGTTAAAGAAAGCAAAGACCTTTTCGAGCAGGCTGCACTATCACAACAGAGTCTTAAATAATGCATCTCATCCTAGCAGGGGGCTAACATTCTCCACAAGCAAAAAGAACAGCGTGTAAGCGCACACTCACACACACACACACGCTCACACGCTCACACACACACACACACACACACACACACACACACACACACACACACACACACAGACAAACAAATGTTTTCCTCCAATATCTTTTATACCAAGTGCAAACATATTGAAGGATGTTGCTCAATTAAATGTATTTTTTTTTCTCTGTTTGATAAAATATCAGATAAAGGGACCAAACAGCAATTATCGCAGGAGGGTCTTTTTGGGCGTTCTTTTTGTCTTTGCTATCTCCGAACCCATTCAATCTATCATCAGAGAGAATGTGTGGGTATGTGAGATAGACAGCCAAAAACCTGTGTTTACGTGTAGACATGACATTTGTGTTAGTCACTTAATAAAATTACAGGAACAGCGAAGAACAGAGGCATCAGATAGCAGCATGGGGCCTCTCATTAGCACACAGGTTAGTGGTTTGTGGCTTTAATGCGTAAAAGCATTGTGTTTCACAACGACACAAAACTGAAATTCTTACAAAGACTGAAAAGCAAAGCACACACTGGATAGTAAATTAACACAACAGATACACTGGGCTG